AATCTTATTGCAATGTACTAATTTTTAGTTTTGACCTATCGACATTATGAGTAATTATTTATCTAAATTTATTCTGTCTTCATCAAGTTTATACTTAAACATCACTTGATCAATTCGTGCATTTTTTTGAATCAACATGACCACCATAAATATCCACATACCTGACCTTAGGTAATTTACGAAGTGAGTGCAAAATATGTGTTGTGGCTTGTCGTCTAAATATGTGAATAATAATAAGCGATATAATGTACGAGTAACTATAGTAGTGTTGTACAAGAAATAAATTAAAATTAAAATCTTACTTAAAAGTAAAAATCCTAGTAATTCACTTAATAAATGGTAAAAACTGAATGTACATAAATCTATAAAATGGAAATAGAACATACCTACCTACCAACTCGAAAAAACAAATAAATGTTGATTCTAAATAGATACATGGGTAGTGGGTACCTATTTTAATACATTATCATTATTTATTACTTATTAAATGTGTTTCAGTCGCTCTGGCTTGTGGCCTCAAAGACTCGGTGCGTGTCAATAACTTGTTCACGTTGTTGAATTGTGCAATCATGGTCTTAGTCATCGTTGGTGGATCATTTCACAGTAAATATTATTTAGTTGAACAATTTTCCGTTCATAGAATTTAGTGATTTGTGCAACTTTTATCAATTTTTATTTTGCCGGCCAAAGTTGATTTCAAAAATTGGTCACTACCGAAAGCTGAAATACCCAAGTGGGCAGGAGAAGGCGGCTTCTGGCCGTACGGTCTGCAGGGAGCACTGCAAGGAGCGGCCACTTGTTTTTATGGTTATGTAGGGTTTGATTGTATAGCTGCGTCAGGCGAAGAAGTGAAAAACCCACAGAAGTCATTGCCGTTGGCCATCGTATTGTCATTGTTCATCGTATTCCTCGCATACTCAGGAGTGTCCGCTGTCCTCACATTAATGATACCGTACTACGCACAGGTAGCTAAAATAAATTCATCTAATTATAAATAACAAAAAAAACAAATATAGTAGATACATTTTACAAAAAACTTATAGTTTTATAATTTTTAAAAAAATTTATCAAAATTAAATTTATACAAATACCAAATTTCTTCGAACTTTTTATTTTAGTTTGTAAATTATTTTTAATGAATCAAACTTGGATCTCAGTAAAATAGTATTAAAATTATTTATGTACATAAATTCTAATTCTTAATTAAACTACTTAAGAGGTATTAAAAAATAAAAATTAAATATTTTATTATATTTAAATAAAAAATAGGTATCTACAAGATGTAATTATACATAAAAATTTAAGTAAAAAATCTATAATATATTTTTATTTTTTGAAAAAATATTTAAATTATAATTAACTGCTTTAACTTGTATTAAAACACAAATATATATCTATTAAAAAAAATTTTTTATTCCAAACAACGAGTTATATCAGCGCTCTAAGTTTACCAGTTTTATATCGATAATATTAAAGTACACATGAATATTTCAATTACGTATACTTATGTCTAGGACGCAAGTATGCCATTAAGTTACGCGTTTGAAGTTATTGGATGGATACCTTTGAAATGGATTATAGGAGTGGGAGCCGTTTTTGGGATGTGTGCTTGGTAAGTAGGTATCCTGAAGTAAATAGCCTGTCGAAATATATGCCCATGTTCGAAAATCGAAACGTTTCTACAACCGTAGCTATTAATAAACTGATGAATAATATAACAGGAATAACAAAACTGAATAACGTTTTCAGCATGTTCGGTTCAATGTATCCGTTGCCGAGAATTTTGTACGCGATGTCCAACGACGGTCTGATATTCAAAAGTTTGGGGAAAGTACACCCTAGGTTCAAGACACCGTTTTTTGGAACGATATTTACTGGAATCATTACAGGTAGATACCAAATTATTTACACTCGTGTCTCGTATCTACGTATAATAATCCAAGTACCTATACACTATAAAAAATAGTATTATGTGTGTTTATGTTAATAAAGAGTGGATATTACACTGAAAAATAGATATCTATTGATTATTGACATTTATTTACATTTAATAAATAAGAATATAGATTAATTCGCTCTTTCATTTTTGTTTTTTAAAGGTTTCTTCTCCGCTCTATTAAATCTCCAGCAACTAGTGGACATGATGACAATAGGCACTCTGCTCGTCTACGTCATGGTCGCTGTGTGCGTACTGTACACAAGGTAAACTCAAAACTCTTCAGTTAAATTTTCCTCGAGGCTCAGACCTTGACGATAACACTATTTTATTCATATTAATGTATTGAATTCCTGCGACAATATTCATAATAGATATCAAGAACAGAGCGACATGGACTACGATATATTGGCTGACGAATACATCGAATCCACGACGTTGGTCACGACAAAAGTGAAACACACGAAGAAGCAAATATTGAAACAATTATTCAACTTCCATAAATTCGTGAGGGCAAACAGCCTTAGTAGTTATGTAGCGTCTTTACAAACGACTTGTTTTAGTAAGCAAAACATAATACATACAATTGCTTTAAAACATCAAAATGGAAACCATTTTTACGTGCATATCATGAAAAAATTGTAATTTCAGCAATAGTGTGTTTGCCTCTTGCTCTCTATTTAAGTCACTGGTACGAGCTAAACAGCACCCATTGGATTATTATCCAAGTTCTTGTAGGCGTCATGATTTTACAACTTATATCCATCGGTATGCAACCGACGTCTAAAACACCAGTAGCATTCAAAGTAAACAACTACCTATCTAATTAAAATTATCAAAATACAATTGCTTTACAATTATTATAGTTAATTCGATTTTTTTTTTCATATTTTATGTTACAGGTGCCATTAGTACCGCTTACCCCAGCACTCAGTATATTTATAAACATTTATTTAATGTTCTTTTTTGACATATACACATGGATAAAATTCATCATTTGGATGATCATTGGTTGGTATTTATTACTTCTTTAAAGACTATAGGTACAATTTTAGACTTGCAGCTTATCGATTAAAATTAATTTATAGCGGATAGTTACTAATCATAATATAATTCGGAAATAAACATTTTCAAATTTAAAATGACTAAAATATCGAAATAAATGCATGTCAACAAAATACAATGTAAATATTGAATACACATTCAAAGTATTTTTACGAATATTATTAACAAAATAGTTACCATAAAACTATAATATAATATTTTTTATTCTTGTATTATTAAATAAATATTTATTTCTAGGTTTTGCAATTTATTTTGGTTATGGTATCACACACAGCAAAGAAAACAATCCAGAGATAAATATTATTAGCAGTTGCAATCAATCAAAATCTTCATTAAACACAGATTGACATATTTTAAATATTTTTAAGAACATGTTCTCATTACAATTACTATTAGAGTGTCAATGAAGATAAAAAACGAATAAAAACATTGTTATTTACCTATGATAGTAGCAACAAATGTACCTTATCATGTAGGCAATCGCCCAGTTGAAGTACCTATACTTGATCATTCAAGTATTCTAGCAATCTGCCACTGAATGTCTGTATCCTACATTATAGCTAAGTCTAATGTATACCTACTAATGCACTATGAAGTAGGTATGAGTTGAACATCACATTATTTGTAAATATAAACATGAGCTATAACCATATTAAACATTTAACTTAGGGACGTAATTTCAGGCATTTTTTTGGGTGCGCAAGATTTCAAGCAGGTCATTTTGAAATTTCTCCTGCAAGCCATAAAAAATAGATATATCTACGTATATAATGTGCATTATCTTGTTTTCAATTGTTTCCTTACATCATGGACCAAATCATTGCACCAACATAAACAATAAAAACAAATTCAAAAACTAAAATACAATAAATAATAAATTAATTACCTTAACAGTGAAAATCAATAATCGATGAATAAAAAGCTAGAAGAAGAAATGTAGCTGCAAATAAAAAAAGTATTAAATGCATGTAATATGGCATTTATAAATTGCCGTTTATTTTTTATACTTATAATCTTAGTAAAAGCAAAATACTCAAAAAAAAATAAATAAATAAATAAATAAAATATTTTAAATTTAAATAAGCGGACAGTGATGGTTTTTAAGTTTAACAAATTTGTCTACAGCTTCTTCTAGATTGATAATCGTTAACTTCTATTTTTGCAACATTCAGTACCATATAGATAACCCATGGTAGTGCGTAAATATGACCTAACTGTTTTTAGCGATGAAAGAAACCTTTCATTTGTTGCCGCTGTAATTGATAAAGTTTTTACCAATGAAATAATTTTTAAAGTTTCAACAAAAATAAATTTCGTGGATGGTTGATTTAAAAATAATATTAAAATATGGTGGTAGATTGATAGATCTTCATTAACGTGAAAAATACAATATTATATTCTACTGTTGTATATTATTATATTATAGGGAATTTTGAAATTGAAGACTAAAAAACAACCACAAATTGTTCAAAATGTCTACGACATACACGTATTAAGTTAAGAAATTATAAATCGTGAATAATTTATTGAAATTATAAAACTTTGTTCACATAATCAACAACCACGACGTCCAAACATACGCATTGTCATGATGTTTGTTGATATCTGCGCATGTTACCAATTAATTTTGAGCTAGATGCTGGAATAGCCAACGTACGAATGCGCATAATATGTTAAATCGACTTTGAAGGATTATAATACCTCTCGCAGTCATATCATACTTACCGACTATTTAATAGAATATATTATATAATACAGATGATATTATGTATTTTACTGTTCTTAAGTAATATTATAAATTATAATATAAGATTTTCGCACAACTAATTTTGGTATTACATACTAATGAATTGCCAATTAATGATTTAATTTTTATTAATTTTTTTATTTTTTTTAATCAATACTGTATTTCAATTCATAGAACAACAGCTGTATTAAGATAAAAACTATAAAATCAAAAACATTTATTATAAGTTTACAAAATTTATTTATATTTTTTTAATCAATACATAAACAAATACATTTTTTATCACTATTGTTATCATTAAATATTTAAAAGTGATTTATAATGATCCTTCAATTCTACGGTCACGGACTTCATCAATCCATTGGGCTAATAGAGCTGGGCCCGTCTTAGGCCAGCTAAAGTAATAATCTTTTGGAGGTGTCCCTTCTTCTAATCTTATAAAATAATGACAGTGCCTGTACATTACTTCACCCATTCGCATCCTTGCATGTCTACGCATACCTTTTATCACAGGACCTTTACCACAAAATGATTCAGCTAAAATAAAAAAAAAATAAAAATATGATTATAAAATTTTAACTTATTGTTTATTATAAATCAAAACCATAGCATATAGAATAGTAAACCATTAAAATGTATTTATAATTAAAATAGTACATTCAGTGATTATATCACAAACATTTAAACTTTCAACTGTTTTAAAATAATACTTCGTAATAAACCATTTTCAATTATAACATTATTAATGTTGATTTTATATAAGATAAAATGTTAGTTTAATATTGTCAAAAAACAGAAAGTAAAAAACAAATTCAAAATTATTTTCCAAAAATATAGTTTGTATCTTATGTAATAATGTTCTGTTAATGGAGTAATTTATCTATCTAAAGGTGTTTACAACTCTGCTATTAAACTTATGCATTTAAATTAATAAAAAATAAAAAAATGTTTGGATAGAAGTAATAGAATAAAAGTAATTTAAAATAAGATAAAAAGTATAGATTACTAATTAATTATTTGTGGTAAAATATATAACACATTAAAAATGCATTTAAAATAATGTGTTGAAATTTAACATAAAAACGTTTCAACAAAAATGTAGTTAATGCAAATTAAAAAATTGTTATTCTCACCAATCCATAGATTTGTCTTAAATTCGACATTATGATTTTCAACAGCTAACTGTTGAGCTTCTAAAATAGTATCTTTCACTATAGTGGCACCTTTACGTCCAACTTGAGGTAATTGTTTAAGTGCTTCGTCAACAGACATGCCACGTACAAAACTTGCGACATACCACATTTTTTTGGGACTGTATTTGATGTTTAACTTTTGATGACATACAAACTGTAAAATTCAAATAAAATACTGAATCTAACAAACATAATTACATAAATACAATACTTAACATACAGCCGGTCTTCTCTCTTCACCGGGTTCCTGTGGTGGATAAATAACATCGTTATATGATAACCACCGTTTAGGATCATTCTCTGAACGAGCTAATTTAATAGAAGTAGTGCTAAAGTCTGTTTTGGGTATAGCAAACAGTGCCATACATCCTTTAAGATAATTGTGACTTGACGGAGGTCTACTATGACAAAATAACGTCAGCTTATTGGCTAGACAATTTAACATTATTAAAACAGAAATACAACTGAAAAACTGTGAAATGAGTAACTAATTAAACTAAATCTAAAACACTAAAATAATCTCTAAAATTTTATTTGTAGTAAAATATAGTAAAATAAATACTTATATGTCATTAAAATATTATTAATTGATAAGAAATATCTAATATGAACCACATGAGCCCGGTAAAAAGATAAGATGAACAAGCTAGGGTGATTTTACTACTAGATAGCGTTAAGAACAGCACGCTATATAATGTTTTGAAAGATGTAAACAATAATTCATTGTATAGCTAGAAAAATGTTTGTTTTTATTTAAAAATTTTTTTTTTTTGGTGATATTCTCAAAATTTAATCTAATGGATCATTTTTAAATAATTCCATATGATTTATATATACACGTTCTATATATTATAGAAGTGATTTATAAGCTGAATATTTCGCTTTTGCATATTTTTGTACCTAATTGGGAATTTTAGTAAAAAATACTTTTAAAAATAACCAAAAAAACCTATTCAGCGCTAAATACCATTAAATAATTATCAACCCTTTTCTTACACAACTATGCAATCAATAAAAAAACAGTGGTTTAACTATTGGCATTTTAAACATTTCTTTATCGTCTAAACTAACATTAATTTAAAAACAAAATATCAAGCTTAGGCATAAATCGAAAACATTTAAAAACAATTATAGCAAATATGAAAACTTTGTTTCTTGAAATAATATTTTGAATTTTCTATTTTACACTAAAAGCTCAATTATATTAATACCATAATACTAACACTAAAACCTAATAAATGCTCTAAGAATGCTAAAAAATTTAAAGTTAACTTTAGACTATTGCATGAGATCAATATCCCAAAATCTCCAAAAATAATGAACTTTTCATTGACATCTGTGCCTTAAACATAACAATAACACTATTCAATCAAACTTTGAACTTCACAGTAATTTTCCATTGATAAAATTTATAACGTACATAATTATTGAACATTCAAATTTCAATTATTATAGATCTGTTTTTATTTACTTTTGATAAATTCATGTATTGTTTTCATTATTTGATGAATCAATAATGGTTTGTTTAACATTAATAATTTAATAGTAAATGAAAGTATGATAAAATTGTCAATTATTGTACCTCATCCAACATGTCGAACCAGAAATATAAGTATCATCATTTTTGTAGTTTTTGATAAGCAGATAAACAAATTTATGTTTAACAGATTTGTTATTGCATATTTTCAAATATCCCTCTAACTCAACAACAAGTGATGCAATGTCAATTAACTAAAAATATTGTTAGAAATATAACATAAAATGGTAGGGTTTATTTTTATATCATTATTATTATTATTTTTATTTCACATCCAAGTAGATAATAAAATCATAAAAATAATACTAAGAACATTATTGAGTGGAAAAAACAAAACCAAACATGAAGTGTTATTGACAAAAAATAATAATAACAATAATTTTTTAAATAAATAGGGTACACATTTAAGTAAAAAAGATTTAGATACACATTTTTTAAATTCACTTTTCATTTATTTTTATAATAGTAATAATAATAGTATCAATAATAATTATACAATGTTTGTTATTACTAAAGATAGTAATAAACCTTACAACAAATCTAGTGTGTCTAAAATAATAATTATAAAGTCTCATTGGCTCAAAAAAAAACCGCCTTTTAATTTTTCCAAATGTTAAGGAAAAACTATTATTATTGTTACATATTATTTCTTTTTTTTCCACAATTTCTTTTCGCGTATTTTTTTTTTTTTTTTTTATCACAACAAAATAAACATTTTTGTGTTAACAATAAACAAACTAAATAACATTTTATCGTCGAAATTCTTAAATCGAATTCACATGTCATTTACAAAAAAAAAAAAAAATCAGTTAATATATACAAATATTTTTATACAAATATATATACAAAAAAAAAATAATAATAATAATAATAATGGTGAAACTGTACAAAGCAAAAAATAAAAATAAATTGTGATGATGGGACAATTATATCATTATAATGAAATCTAACATATTAGGTATTTGCAGAAAATAGTATATAAATTAAAGCTTCCATTCTTTTTCACATTTTTTTTAACAACATCTAATCTTACTTTCGCAGTGTGTACAGAGTACAATTAAAATTGTGTTCACAAGAATCAGATGATTCTCAAATAAGTATCACTATTTATTTTTTTTCTAGGTAATAGTAAAACATAATCATAAATGTACTCAGGAACTCATTTGCAGCAGTGACAAAAACGATTTGACTAGTACATTCATATAATAATATTATAATAATAATAATAATGATCATTCAATGAAATTTCCTAAGGCCGTTTGTGAACACCATTTTCTATTTGGTCAAATAATTTAATCCAAATGGCACAAGGCGTGTTTTACATATTGTCCGTTCACATTATATTATATATAATTATTTAGTAATTATTATTAACTATCTTGGTCTTAGGATGAACTAGATGCATTCATGTTACCAAACATGCCAGATGCAAAATTAGCAGCTGATATTTGTTGCTGCTGCTGTTGCTGTTGTTGCTGTTGTTGCTGTTGCTGTTGCTGATTATTGGCTGATTGACGGCCATGTTTTGGTAATGGTGGTTGTAGGTATTCATGCCTAGATAAGGTGAATACATCAATACGATCTTCTTTACGATATGCAAGACAACAACGAATAAAGCTCTGTAAAAAAAAAAAAAAACTTATTTACTAATATCTTATTATATTAATAATATTTACTATTTTAAATATTGCTAGATAATTTAGTCCTATGCAATTTATTATTTAAATGTTAATGGTTAGACTAAAATTTATAAATCATAACTAACAAGTAGAAATGTATGTAAAATTGATAAATAAAATTAAAAATGTTTATATACCTTTGCTTCATTACTGACGGTAGGTTTATTTGCAAACTGTACTTCAGTAGCCTTTAATATCGTATTTTCTTCTAAAATGGTAGCTTGAGATTGATTATGACCAAAAGGCTGTAATGAATAATAATAATAATAAATAATAATTATCAAATATAAATCAATTTTAATAATAGAAATTTAATTACCTTTTTGCCATATAGACATTGATAAAATATTACACCAACACTCCAAACATCAACTTTGGATGATATTTTAGGTGGATTTTTACCAACTACAAAACATTCTGGTGGCAAATACCTAAAAGAAAATATACAGTTATTAATTTTATATTAGATCTATTAAAATTAATATTAATGAAATATATACTTTTTTAATTCCATTACTCACCAGTATGTTCCAGCTCCTTGTGACGTTAAGTCCATTCCATGATCTGGATTATAATTTTCTTCATCCATCACTTTGCTAAGGCCGAAATCTGTGATTTTTATTTCACCACAGACATTACCTTCAGTAAGTAATATGTTTCCTACAACAAATGTCAAAATGAGCAATCATTTCAATTTAATTGAAATAAATAATATATACCAGGCTTTAAATCATAATGTATCACAGGAGGTTTGATCTCATTCAAATATTTAAGTGCGGATACCACTTGCATAACTATTGATCTAGCTTCTCGTTCTGCTATTGTCTTGTGCTTTAAAAGTTAAAAATTGATAACATTTTAGATGCTATTTACCAACTAAATTATACATTATTTAGGTAACTTTTATTAGGTACTTGTCTCACCTGTTTCAAATAAAAATCTAAATCATGTCCATCACAGTATTCAAGTACAGTGCAAAACGAATTTGCATCTATTTCGAACACATCATACAATTTAACAACCCTTGGATGGTCCAAAGATTTATGAATATTATACTCTCGCAGAGCATGCCTGAAAAAAAATTATATATTAATTTTTTATAAAAAAGAAGACTATAAAAATTCTTTAAATTACTTTATATAATTAGCCTTTTTATCCTCTTTCCAGTCTTTATTCAGTTGGTGAACCTTACATGCTACGTAACGTTGTTCTTTAAGATCAAACGCCTGTAAAAAATAAATAAAAATATAGTTTTAATGAATCTAAGAATAAAATTAGCGACAAATCGTTAATAGTTTAATACTCACTTTATGGACTTCACTGAAGCCACCTTTCCCCAACAACATGAGCAACAAATAACGGTCATTTAACACAGGGTGATTGTTGAACCTAGATTGGTCTTCATTATGAATCCTTTTCAGTTCCCTTATGTGTAAATTTCTTTCTCGCTCCAACTTCTCCATTTCCAGTTGCAAATCAGCATCTTCTTTTTTCAATGCTGATTGTCGCAACTGTATACATCAAAACAAATGATTTAATTGATCATTTAAATTGGTAATAATATTATATTATAAAAATTACCTTGAGTATCTCATCTGCTTCATAATACTCTTGCCACGATAAACCCGGAACAGCTTCTGGCTTTAGGAACGTTGCTGTGTCCAATGCGGACGATGGTGCTACAGTACCGTTGTGCAAGACCGTGCCTGTTGTAGCACCAGTCACTTGGTTATTGTTGATACTTGCACTGGGTAGCGTTATGGGTGGTGTAGAAACTGAGGGGGTTGAATTGATTGGTACACTATTAGTACTCGAACTACTACTTCCTGTACCTGACTGACTACTAGCTCGTTTGCGTCCACCAGTTTCGCTATTCGATGGCCGCTTTTTAACCAGCATCTTTTTTTGTCGGTCAATCTCTTCTCTTTCTGATGTTATTTCTTCTTGTCTTCTACTCAGCAAATAATAACATATTGATTATAAATTAACTAAAAATAAGAAGAAAATGATTCACACATACCTAGACAATTCTTGAAATGCATAACCATCAGTCCAATTTTCTTGAAATTGTGCACCAACCCTTTGTGTTACAAACTGACCAAGTCGAAGTCTGTTTTGCATACACCGTTGTCTTGCTTCTTTTTTTTCAATATTTGACTTTTCTTTCAACAGTTTCTTCACCACTTCAATACACTTATTTATGTGCGACTTGTGTTGTTCGATTGTTTTCTGTTGACTGCTTAATTGGTGTTTCAGTTCTTCATTTGTCTAAAATCAAATATTTATTATCATTATTAATACTATAATTATTATTATTAATAAAA